GGAAGGAAGGAAGGAAGGAAGGAAGGAAGGAGCTTTCTTCTGCTTTGCCTATTCTAAACTGCTTAGCACTATATGTTAATATTGGCTTGAATTAGTTATTTATCCAGGTAATTACATGCCATCAGAGTGTCGAATGGTGTTATTACTTTTCCATGCTGTGTGAAGCAGAATTCTAGTCCTGATTAGGAACACTATATTACAAACATCTGTCATCTTGTTTACTTTAGAGAAGTATAGGCTTTGTGAAAGAGAATCTTTTCCCTGTTACTGGACAAAATTCTCAATATTACAGGCTTTTTTAGCTCTTCTCCTAATGTTAATTATGTCCATAAAAGTTTATGCCCAATTGAGATCCCAGGGCCCCCAGAACCTGTGATATAGAATTTCTTGTCTGAAATTGTAATTTATTAATTCATGTTTAAATATTTAATACTATAACTGAAAGATTTGTCAGTGCATTTAATCTTCTAACATACAGCCTTACATTTTAGGGAACTGAATATAATCTGACATTGATCATTGTTGCTTTCAGTGTTATGTCACGGGCTTTGCTAGTTCTTTCTATGGATTGTAGTAAGAGTGCCACAGATACTATGAGAATGATTAATAATTGAGCCAGTTAGTAGAGCTTTCTTTCAAGAAGCAAAGTCCTTAAAGACTTGAACTCTCAAAAACATTAAAGCATTAAAATGAAGGAAATACTAAAAATTGCAGCTTCTTTTTAAAAGATTCTTGAAGTCAGCTTTCTGTGGCACTGCTTGGCATGACGTCTCTATAATTTTGTACAGGCTGAGAGGATAAACTCACATGGAAAGCCCGATGTTATTGTGATCCTGGTGCCTTGAGCTTTTATACAGTATGCTGGAGATGTGTAGCTATTTTAGTCTCGGTGCCAGAAGCACAATACCGTACTTGCCGAATAGGCAAAAGGCTTCCTCAGAAGATAATAGCTGAGTAGGACACGTTGTGTCTTGAATTGCAGAGAAGAGAGAAGTTTATATTAGCCACAAATACCATAAAGCAGGCACAGAAGACTGCCTGACTTGATTGCCCTGTAATTGAGTTAGTCTAGGAACCTTCTCCCTAGTCTTTCAGTCGGATAATCCAGAGAAGTGAAGCCTGGTATTCTGGGGAAAGTTGGCAAAAGCGGGAAAGAGAAACCTCAAGAAAATATTGGCTACCACAAAATAGCAGGCATGGTAAATTCTATATATAAGGTCAAGAATATTTTAAACCTGTTTTTCCATATTTAAACCTATATTTAGGAGATCTGTATTGTAAATGACAGGGTTAAAAAAAAATTTTTTTTAAAGGATTGGCTAAAGGATGGCTATTTAGGTTCATGTTATTCAGTACTAAGTGCTTAGAATTTATTCTTTAGATTGTATTACTTCCAGCCTTTGGCAGCCTCCCTCCCTTTAAAAAAAAAAAATCCTGTCACTTTCAAAAGTATTTTGCCATACAGCATGAAAAACTGCAATTTGAGGAAAGTACTTTGGTAATACATACTCAGCTAGCATTGCTACTTGTGATTAATGTCAATCTGAAATTTTGGTTCACTTTGGAAAGATGTTTAACTTACTTCTTTTATTGCTGTTTCTTATTACAGTCTACCCCATTACATTTGGCTGCAGGATATAACAGAGTTCGTATAGTTCAGCTTTTACTTCAGCATGGTGCTGATGTCCATGCAAAGGATAAGGGGTAGGTAAAATTGTATAATTTGATTTTGATAGCACTAGTATGATGTAAGAGGAGCTATGGGTGAAAACACCTTTTCATGGCATCCACACAGATCCAAAGATACTATTTGGAGGCCTCTTCCCTTCCCCTAAAGTCATTTGAAGCTGGTTGCTTTTAATCTTGTTTACATTTTTTAAAATTTGTATATTTACTCTCTTATTTCTGTTTGCGTCATTATTCTCTGATTTTTTTTTTATTCTGCTTTCCATCTTAGCATATTTTATTGCAGCGTATATTTGAATTAGTTATATTCTGTGAGCCATCCAGAGGACTGTGTTATGGAATGGCCTAGAATGTTTATCAGTAAGAATAAAATACTGATTTGAGTAAAAGTGGAATAGTCAGACAAACTCATGTGAGAAACCTACATATTGCATGTACTCATGTTGCCTCTATCTCATATAAAACCTGGAAAATGTCCACACAATGGCTCCCCCCCCCACTATATTTAGATGCTAAATAAAATATAACACTTGTATGTTGCCCAGATATGAGGAAAATATTTAGACAGTAACAGTGTCACTCCCCTGTAACTTATGATGGCAGGCGTGGTGTAGTGAATCCTGCAGTGTGCAAGGGGTTGGACTTGATGACCTCTTGGATCCCTTCCAACTCCATGATTCTATTCTATGAGTTTGATTTAAAGTATTCAGCTGTAGCTGTAAATTTGTTGGGTTCCTTTTTCCTGCCTATGAATGGTGTGGATTGCCTCAGTTTTAAAGTTCTGTTTTACTTTTCAACTTATTAAGGAAGAACTGAGTCCTTGAATGGGCTAAATATTTTTTTTCTGTAGCTTTCAAATTTTATGTATTTTTGGAAGGCATGTTACACTGATGTGATCCATACAAGACTGAGGCAGGATTTCTTTTGCCTAATTGGTTTATTTGAAGTTTGACCTTATTCTAAGAAGCAAACCATGTTTCAGTTTTAGATGGTATATCACCATTCCAGCATTTGTTTGAAACTGGTTCATGAATGCTAGCTTATTTTAATCATGGTTTTTATATCTGAACCCAGAATTCTGACTGGAATAAAAATCTAAACATTATGAAAGTCATCCAAAAATATAAGCAAAATATATCCTTTAATGAAATGTAAATATATACACACAGCAGTAAGACAAATAATAACTCCAAAATAGAGAAAAACAAAAGAACCCCCTGAAAGATACCACCCCCACACTTATGCAGGCAGAAAACATTAGAACTGTGCAAAGCATTGAAAATAAGCAATTTGTCAAATGCATTAGCGCAAGCAAAATAGCCCTCTTCAAAATATTAAAGCAGATATATCTTCTGGAAGTCATGGCTACATAGAATGCTTGAACAGTCTCCTATGCATTCCTAGAAAACATTAATACAATAGACATAAAAAAGGAAAAAAGTATATTTCCACAAATGAGACAAACTTTTGAAATGTTTGGGATATTGTTTGAGTACAAAATGGAGAGGAGGCAAACTAGGAATTTGCTGATGACACTATTATTAATTTGCTTGTATTCAAGATTGACCCTGGTTTGTCTAAGAAAGCATGGTTCAAACAAATCTGAGCTTTGTGTTATGGTTCAGAGGCCAAGAGACCAGCAATACAGTTTTGTGATGATGTGAAAGATTCTGGGAGTTAATTGAAGGCCACAAAACTGGCTGCATTTATTGGGCTCTCTGTGTAATTGAACTAATATTTTTCTAAATCTGGATGTTAGAAAAATTAGGGGAACTGTTTTAGGGGGAAAACTTAGGGGGAAGGAAGGAACAGTCATTAAGAAACCCTGCCTCTTTCCCCATCCCATCATACCTCTTGAGGGGAGGTACCTTCAGCAGCAGTCCCTATTCTTCTAGGTCAGGCAGGGAGAATTTACTTGGGATGGAGGCCTTCTAAAATACCTAGGCCCTGAGTTGTCTAGGACTTTATGCATCATAACCAATACTTGAGTTCCAGTAAGAAACAAACCAATTACCAAAACAGCTCTTACAGCAGTGGTGATACATAAAAGTACCATAATTGTCCAGAAGCATACAGGCAGCTGCATGTTGTGCCAGTTGAAGTTTCTGGGTCATCTTCAAGGACACCCTCATGTGGAGTAAATTTACGTAATCTAGGCATGACAAGAGTGAGAATAACTTCTTCAGAATATCCTGTTCTAGAGAAGGCCACAGCTGATGTACCATCCAAAACTGAGCAGAAGCCATTCTGGGCAGTCTCCACCTGCTTCTCTAGTAGGAGCCATGAGCATTGGAGGCCTCCCAGATTGCAGCCTTGCTCCATCAGTAGCCAAAATTGGTATCACCCCAGAATCTGTTATCATCAGAACTAATAGCAACTTTGTGTCTCAGCCTGTTTCTCCCCATCCAGATCCTGACAACCTCTAGGTTCTGGGTCAGGACTTCTACCACATCTCCTGTTGCATCTGTATCATCCTATTAATGATACCTCACTCTATGCCAGTAGATTACATCTCTCAATGGCTCCATATAGATGTTAATAGGAGCGAAGCAAACCCTGGGGTACCTCATATGAAAGTGCCTGTGGATATGACCTCTCCCCTTCCTCAATCACCAACTGGGTATACTCACACAGGAAAGAATGCAACAACTTCAAAATGGTGTCTCCCACTCCCAGTCCTCACTGGTGATCCAGAAGAATGCTGTGGTTGACAATCTTAAAGGCCGCCAAGAGTTCTAGCAGGACAAAGATAGTCGTGTTCCCACAATCTATACCATGTCACAAGTCATCAGTGAGAGCAATCAGTAGTTTCCATGTCATACCCTGGCCTGCTGATTGCCAAGGATCCAGATAATCTGTTTCTTCAAGATCCCTCTCCAGTTATTGCCCTACCACTTTCTCAACAACTTTCCTTCCAAATGGGAGGTTGAATATAGGACAATAGATGTTAAAACTTCTCTTTTTCTCTGACATATCAGGTACCTCTCCCAGCTTTGTGTTATCTACAAATTTTATAAATGACCTGTGGTACTCCAGTACTTCCCTCCAAGTGAAGTAGAGCCATTTATGAGTACTCTGGGTACAGTCATTCTGCTAACTTTGAGTCCATCTAACAGTAGTATCACCTAGCCCATATTTTACCATGTTATGAAGGAGAATATATCATGAGTAGAACCTGTAGAAGGTTTTGCTGTGATCCAAGTATGCCATGTCTACAGCCTTCTGTTCTGCTAAATAATGATTGTAATTATATCAAAGAAGGAGATAGTCTGGCACAATTTATATGCCATAAACCCGTGCTTTCATGGCTATCCAAGTGCTCACAAACATGCTGCTTGATAACCGGTTTGAAGATCTTGCCCAGTGTAGACTTCAAGAAGACAGCCTTCTCCTTTCTGAAGATGAGGATGACACTTGCTGTCTTTCAGTCTTCTAGGACATCACCTGTGCTAGTTTTTCAGGACTGTGGGATGTAATCCAGCTGGCCCTGGAAACTTGAGTTCATGTAATTTAGCTAGGTTTTCTCTTTCTTCACCTGTCTGTCCTGAGCCTCAGTTCTGTCCTTCCCCCAGAGTCGGAGCTATTATTGGCTAGAAATCCTTTCCTTTCTGAGGACAGTTGCAGAATGGGAGTTAAGTTCTGTCTTCTTATCATCACCATTACTGCTTCATCACTTTGTCCTTGCTATGGACCTACATCTCTTTGACTTTCCTTTTATTTCTTACATACCCAATTTTTTTGTTTGTTTTTGATATCTCTTGCAAACCTCAGCTTATTCTGATTTTTAGCTTTTCTAATGGAAATCCAACGGTTTCTGGAGACTACCAGGTATTCTTTGGTTATGTTCCCCTCCTTCCATTTCCTATACATGTCCCTTTTTCTCTTCAGCATTTTATACTCACACTGAGCTCTTTAGATTTTTTTCTCTCTCTCTCTCTCTCTCTTTCTCTCAGATTGTTTACAGTTTTACTTTCAGTATCTCATTTCATAGAATTTCCCATCTTTCCTGGACACTTTTCTCTTTAAGGATTTGTAGTCATTAGACCTGTCCTACCTTTCCTTGGGGTTCATAAAGTCTGTTCTTCTGAAATCCAGTATGCAGGTGTGATTCGTCTCAGTTCTGTCTCCTCTGGATGTTAGAAATTCAGATAACATGATCATTTTCCCCTATGGGCTAAAATTTTAAGTCAATATCTCAGGGTTTAACTGTAATCTGCAATGTATGGTGCAGTGTAGTGAAGAATTATTTTTCTCAATAATTAAGTAACGTGTTTTTTTTTCTTCGTTATAGTGGACTTGTGCCCCTCCACAACGCATGTTCCTATGGACATTATGAAGTCACAGAATTGCTGCTGAAGGTGAACTGGATAAGTTAATAATCATGTAATTATGTGAAGACAGTCATTAACATGAAGGAGCTTATTCTGTTTACAAATTGTAGGTTGTATTGCACTCTGAGATCATTTGTATGCCTTTGTGAGATAGATAAAGAGAATATTTTAGAGACCCCCTGTTACATGTTAAAAAAAGGCCACGCCTTATTTGAAACAGTTCATCACTATAGAACAGTTAGAGCTGTCTCCAATTTTGCTAAATTATCAGTCCTCCTTTTACTGGAGCTTCAGTCTAATTTTACTAAGTCAGAAATGATAACATACCTATTCCATTTTTCCCATCTATGTTGTAGAACTACTTTATTTATTTAGAAAATTTATATGGCTGCCCAATTTAAGTGAATAACTCTGAGTGGCTAACAACAATATCAAAACCAATATAAAAACAGAACAATAAAATTAAATAGACTATAAGAGCCAAGGCATCTTGCAAGTGACTCACAGCCCCCAAAACACACATAACAGATTTCACTAGCAGACTGGCCCTAATGCCTGAAAGAGAAGCTAGGGTTTGATGGCCTTGCGAAAGCCAGCAAGTCAGGGCCATCCAGTTCTTGGAGGAGGATTAAGGGGGCAGGGGGGGCTGTTTCATTGGGCAGGCACTATGACAAGCATGTCTCCTGAATCCCACAAGATGGCACTGTTTCATAAAACAAACATTACTTGCCCCAGGCCAATTATCAGGTTTGTGTTTAAGCTAAGATATAAACAGAAGATTCGCAAGTGCTGTTATACCAAGATTTACTGTAACTGATCTGTTACACCAGCTGATTCTTGTAAACAAATATCATGGGTTAATCTCCTTCTTTGGTATGTCAAGCAGAATATATTTGCTCAGATAATGAAATGAAATGATTAAATTATTTCACATATGTTAGATATCAGTTCTAATATAAGGCTTCTATCAAATAATCAAGCCAGGTAATCAAACCTAGTTTATTTAAAACTAAAAAATAATTATAATATTGATACAACATAAAATGCCGGTTGTCTTTTCCTCCTGTTATATTCATTACTCAGCATGGAGCCTGTGTTAATGCAATGGATCTTTGGCAGTTTACCCCATTACATGAAGCTGCTTCTAAGAATCGTGTGGAAGTTTGTTCTCTGTTACTCAGTCATGGTGCAGATCCAACATTAGTCAACTGTCATGGCAAAAGTGCTGTTGATATGGCACCAACACCTGAGCTCAAAGAGAGGCTCACCTGTAAGTATTACTACGTGCAAGGTGTTATCATTCTCAGCAGGATGTATTGCTAACTACAGAATTCAATATGTTTTCTACAGTATTAAAAACAGTATTCTGTCTTTTAAAGGAAGGCTGGTCTGATAGCTCCCCTACAATTGGGGAATTCTTGGTGAATTCTGAAATTTAAAAGATTGTTGCCTATGTTTCTTATTTATTTTATTTTATTTATTTATCTAAATTATTTATATGGCCACCTAGCTCACTAATGCGACTCTGGGAGTCTAACAAAGATTAAAAAATACAATATATATAAAAAATACGTATCAGGACCAACTAAAGCATAGAGTGGCTACCAAATACATATCAGGACCAACTAAAGCATAGAGTGGCTACCAAAGACACTATACACCAACAGTATGGGCTTAGTAACTTGCCCAACCCCCATGCCTGGGAAAACAGCCAGGTCTTCAAGGGTTTCTGAAAAGTGAGCACAGTCAGGACCCACCTAACCTTATCAGTTACAGAGGGTAAGGTTTTAATTTCTCATCACCATCACTTCCTCATTACTGGGAGCAATAAAAATTACAAAACAAATGCCTAAAGCCTGTGTTGGACTTAAGATGTTTTGGTCCAGCTTTGTGATGCCATATTGCTCAGTCAGATGCTAAAAGGAAGACTATCAGTATGAGTGTAGTAGTAGCATTCTGCCTAATGTTTTCAGAAGCGCTGTTGTCTCAGATACTGGAGTTAATATTTATGGGTATTATAACTAGTAATCATTGAAAACATTATTTGCCATGAATTTGTCCTTCCATACTTTTCAAAGCTGACTTAGTTGGGCATCACTTTGTATCTGGGCAGCAACTTCCATAATCGTGGCGCTCCCCTAAAAAGTGCTAATCACAAGTTAACAAGCTCAGCTCTGTGACCTTAATTAGTTGATTAGAACCTTCCAGCCAGCTCCCACTGCTGCCTGAAACTGACCAGAGCATGATCAATTTCACACCGAAGGCTTTTGTTGTCAGGCTCATGAAATTTGGTTGAAAATGAGTGTGTTGGTCAGAAAATGATTTTTTTATTACTGTTTATTATGGTCGTATTTGTGAATGGTCATTAACCAAGAGTCACTAAATGAGGAGTGGCTATATTTATAGCTCTCAAAGCTCTTTTTGAAGTGTGGCAACTTGAATCATATATAGTATTTTAAATGTGACCACAGAATAGAAAAGCATATTTATGTTTTTTATTTTCATTCTTTTCATAATGAATCCACAATATGGGATTTGCCTTTTTCATAGCTTTTGCACACTGAATTGACATTTTAATTGAGTTGTTTACTACAGTCTCAGAATCCTTTTCTTGGTTAAAGATTGCAAGCTAGCCTCAATCAGGTTGTATGTGAAGGTGTTATATTTTTCCTTCCAGTTCTTTGTGTTTGCATACACTGAATCACATTTGCAATTTTAATGTCCCTTTTTTCAATTTAAAGTTCTTTGCCATCCATTTTTGTTTTGACTACCTTAATTATTTGGTGTTGTCAAACAGAATTGATATTGCCTTCAGAGAATAACAAAGAAACTATATCTGCAGTAAGTTTATTTTGCACTGAAAACTATTTCAATTGAGAACTGTCTGTACCTCTTAAATCATGGATTTTTTTTTTTTTGTCTTTCACAAGCATTACTTGAGAGAATATATTGGGACAGTCCACTAAGGAATTACTTTTCCCTTCTACACTATTTTTCTATACCACTGTTATAAATCTGGTTTTACAACATACATTTATAACCTGTAAATATGTTTTTTCCTTTCTGCAGATGAATTCAAAGGACATTCCTTATTACAAGCAGCAAGGGAAGCTGATTTAGCCAAAGTCAAGAAAACACTTGCTTTGGAAGTCATTAATTTTAAGCAGCCACAATCTCATGAGACAGCACTGGTGAGATCATGGAGTCACTCTTCTTGCTTTATCTGTGTGTACATTTAAGATTTTCTGGGCATACCTGTAGTTATCCATAGAGTTTCACCTATTAAAAATTAATGATTGACTTGCTATTGATTTAAAGCCAAATTAAGAAAGAATCTGAAGGAAACATCTCTTCCATTGGCCCTAAACATTTTTTCCTTCTTCACTGAAATGTATTGTGCAGTCCCTTCAATACTTGGTGTATTTTGTTCAACCATAAGGGTTTCAGCAATGATCAACATTTGTTAGAGTAGGATAGATTTACTTATCTGTTGGAAAATTTGTTCTTTTTCAGGGATTAGGCAGAAAGATCACATTGCCGATTTCATCCAACCCTGTCCTCTGGTTCATTCCATCTCCACACTTGTGAGATAAGGATTATAGAGCACAACTACAGGTAGTCCTCGCTTAATGATGGTAATTGGGACCGGAATTTCCATTGCTAAGCGATGCAGTCGTAAAGCGTAACATCACATGACCGCATCACTTAGCGATGGCAATCCTGGCAGTCCCCTTTGCCATTGTTAAGCAAGGATCGCAGTCATTAAGCAATGATCTCACAACGTCCTGATGGCTTTCAACAACCAAAGTCAGTGGGGAAGCTGGCAGGATGTTGCAAGTCCTAAGTGGCTCGCAAGCAGGGAGGCAGGTAAGTGGCTGTTGCCAGGTAAGGGAGGGTGTGCGGGCAGCTACAGCAGCGCACAAGAGTGATTTCAGGCATGGGGGTAGCTACAGCCAGGGTGTGTGTGCATGTTTGGCTGCAGCGGTGCACGCAAGTGATTTTGGGCCTGGGGGAGATTTACCAAAGCAACTTGCAACCTTCCCTGCTGGCTTCCTCATTGACTTGCTTGTGGAAAGCCAACAGGGAAGTTCACAAATGGTGAGCACATGACTGCGGGCGCTACAACTGTCATAAGTGTGAGCTGGTTTCCAGGCACCTGAATCGCGATCACTTGACCATGGGGTTGGTGTGACAGCCGGAATGTCAAGGACCAATCATAAGTACCCTAACCCTAACCCAATCATAAGTACCACTCATTCAGTGCTGTCACAACTTCGAACAGTCACTGAACAAGTGGTCACTAAGCAAGGACCACCTGTAGTAATAATTACTAATGTTCAGTGGAATTCCATATTATCCAGGTCTCACAGAGGAAGGAGGTTGTATCCAACTTGAAATTTCAATGGGTAGTTTGAGACCACTCATTTCTCTGCACAAACTACTACTCTGAGTTTTTGTTACAGGATAAAATTAAGGGAGATCTCCATGTAAATGACCTATAATCATCTTGAAGAAAAAGTGGGATAAAAACATAACATTATTATTAGTAGCAAAGGTTATTTCTTCACATACTTTAATGGTTCTTTGATTCAGTGCATGAAAAAGGAAGGGGAGCTGAAATGAATATTTTACCTCTCATTCTCTCTGTCCCAGATAA